GCTGGGGTGCAAAATGCCAGGGCTGGCAGTAGCTGTTTCTCTTTCCCCTGCCCATAGCTCCCACTTTGACCCGGGGCTGCTCTCCATTTGAGGGCTACACCGCATGGGTGAGTGTTCAGTAGGAAAAGGGATCTTGACTAAAGAGTTTCCTCAATGTGCTCCATCCTTTTATTTTTTTTCCTTCCTTTCTTTTCCTAGCAGTGGAAGCACTTTTGCCAACTAAGCAGCAGTTTCTTGGGTTAATCAAGGGGTGTGTTTTTAACAGGAAGCCTGTGAAGGCTGTTCCCGAGGGCACTTACTCTAGATTGGGGGCAATCGCTTTTTGTAATGGCATTGCACATCCCAGCGCAGCCTCATCCCCTTAAACAGCTCTGTAGGGGGCCTGCTTGAACATGAAACTCTTCCATAAAACCCAGCACAACCAGTGGGGTACTAACTGAGCATCTTTACTTAGGGCCTCCATAGGCACCATCAAAAAACCCAAAATACAGACATTCCGTTCTAACGGGTTCATTAAGTCTCCTAAACCTGAGATAAGAGGAAGAGACTGGCAGAGATCTTAGAAAAAACGTTTGAAGCACACCAACTTTTTCCTAAAATAATATACTGTAAAGATACATGTTTGCAACTCTCCATCACATTTATTCTGAAGGTGTTAGCTAGGCAACCAGCTACGTTCTCTATATATTCTCTACAGATCTGGAGGCTGTATGTGGAGAAAGCTTGCCATGATTATGCAATGCAAATAGAAGGGGGAGTAAAAAAGAACTTGCTGCATGTAGAAACATGCCTACACCTTCCAGAGCAGAGGTGGCTGTGGAATTAAAGGGTCTTCCTGCTCCTACTTTATAGACATTATTAATAGCTTCGGAGGAGTGTAAGAAGCAATGGGATAATTGTAGTGAGACATAACATTGCCGTTATAGTTTTTGGAATTAATTAGTGAGATCTGTTTTTTTCACTAGGAAGGAAAAGGATCTTGCTTAGAGGAAGTGTCAGGTCAGCCGCTCTTATTCAGGACTGACATAGTGATTTCTCCTATGACCTTGAATCTCTTATCCAGGGTCACATCCTGACACCTTCATGCTCTGAAGCAATCCAGTATCACACTGAAGGCAGAGAAAAGACTGCTTATGACCTAGTGGCATCAAGATCTTGCCCATAATTTCAATGATCCTGTTTCTCTATCTGCACTTGGGCTGGCATTAAGTATTTGGGTTGAGAAGTGGTGTTTAAGTATAAAAGAAGAAAGAAATAATTTTAAGGAAGAGTCAGCCTTCTCAGCCTCTGTCTTCAAAGTCTGTTTCTAGGCACAGAAACTGCCAGGATATGCGCAACCTATAATTTGCTGGATAAATTATTTTATATTTGGTTGAGCTACCTAGTTACTCGACTTTCTTCCTCCAGTTACACAACAGTGATGACTTGTTTCTTAGAAATACATATACTCGTGGCAGAGAGTAAGGAAAGGCAAATTCTGGCTTGTGAAATTCCAACTGGCCAGTTTGCAGTAGTTTATGCCAAAGGGTAAGACATTCAATGGCCAAAGAAAACTGCTCTCTTTAGGATGACAGTTTTCTGAAGATTCAGGATTTAGCATGGCTATGGCAGAACACTGTAAAAAGTAAGTAACCTTGCTTACATGTGTACTTTCGATGAGTTAAACAGAACTACAACAAAATTGTATCCTTGCATCCGTAAAATTACTCACATATAGGTGACCTATGAAATAATTCCCCTTGGAAGGGCCCGAGAAGCACATTGACTTCCTTATTCTTCTTCCTTGGAGCTCTGCAATATGATATTACATATAATTCTATTTGGTAAGAGATGCTTTTATGAAGAGCAATATTTTATTAATACTGTGGGTTTATGATAATGGGCAAAACTGCCAATAGCAACATTTTATTGCTCTGATTTTGTTTTCTAAATGTAATGTGTCCCACGGTTATGATGACTGAGGCCATCCAACACCATGAAGTTCTCCGCTTGTGAGTTCTATGGACTGTATATTGACAGGCATAAGCACAAACATATTCAAAAAAGGAAGAACATTTCAGAGAGTTCTGAACTCAGTGGTATGACATAAGATTTCCCAAAGGCAAAACTACCTGTGAAAATGATGTTAAGGTTTGGCAGATGAGGGAAGTGGGGAATACCTGTAGCCTGATTTCTCATAGCATTTTTGAATATCATTTCTGAGTGCTTTAGCCGTATTTCAAGCAATTTCTCTGTCGTGTGTGCTCTTTAACTCAAGTGAATGAGCCAAATTCAGCCTGAGTCAGCACATCCTACTTATGCCAGTTCTGCTTTTAGGTAAACATTTTTAAAAAGTAGTATTTTTTGGTCTGCATGAGGCAGTGATTAGTGGCAAGGAAGCTGGCATTTATATGGTTGACAGCTCTTTGGGGCAAAGGCTGTGGCTTCCACTGTTTTATCAGTTTGATATGCTGTGGATGCTGCAATAATAAATGTGTCATAGTGAATGAGATCATCTGCTGAAATACACCTAGTGAAATATTTCTTCATTTGCATGGGGCAAGAGTACAAGATAGGAGCAGTTTTGGGATGTATGTCTGTACATTCTTTACTGTCCGTAATCCTTTACTGAAAGATATTTTAATTTTCTAATTAAAAATAGATGTCTCTAATAAAAATAGATGTATCATTTATATTTAAGATTCTACTACGTTAAATGACCTTTATACATTTGCATAGAGTTGTCCTTCCGTTGTGTGTCTCCCTCAGCCTTTTACTTCTATTCATGGAAACAGAGCAGCTTTAACACGTGAATATATGCAAAGAGTGGTCCATTTTCTGTAGCTTAAAACTCACGGAGAGGAAATAAGGGCTTTTATGTTCAAAAGCTTGCCATGAATTAAGCCTAATGCTTTTTCAATTACATTTCAAAATACAAAACATATTTACAGTGAGCTTCGCTTAGAGTCAGGAATGACAGATGGAAAGGATACACATACTGCTCTGGATAATCCTGGAGTTTGACAGAGGCCAGATTGTTCACTGGCCTTGCAGGATTTTCCTTGCCTTTTTCCCAAGAAAAAGTTTGCTGGAGTAGCAATGATATGCGTGACATTTGCCCCCAAAACATTATCTCAAAGAAAATGAAATGTACTCCATCCCAGTCCTCAGCATCAGTCAAACTGGTTTTTCCATCTACCAGGTTAAAAGATTTATATAACTATGTCACAGTTCCAAAAAGAATCAGGTTAGCAGATTTAAAGAAGAAATAGGAGATGCAAAAAGTGATTTACCACATCTTGACTGCTATACATGATTGTCAGAAGGTTAGCTTGCTCTCGCTGCGAGTGTGACCTAAAATCAGTGTCTCATTGGCTTAGATGAGATAACGATGATGCTGACTTGAAGATGCTGCTGAGGTTTTTGGACTGCTGTGCAAAAATAATATTGCTAATATTATCTCTTGTTCAGCCGCTGTCGTGCACTCATTCACACAGAACATATGGATTGTCTCTTTCCTCGGCGTAATTTAAACACCAGATTTTTTCTAGTACTGTTGATAAATTTCTAGAAACCGTTTTCAAGCAGTGTTCTGGAAGACAGCGAAGACAGGCTGATACTTCACGTGTCTGACAAGCCCTTTGAAGACATGCTGTCCAAGTTGTTTGATGCTTCTCCTCCAGATCACTCCACCTTAGTAGAATGCAGTGGTCCTGCAGCAGCTGGGAGAAAGACGTCAGCTCGGATAGGAAGGATTTTGGGATATATGTACTTTTTATTCTAGAACTGATAGTACTTAGCTCTGAAAGATGCGTTTGTTTGTCATTTGAGATTCATTGCTTGGAGTTGCCTTCTCTAACCTATGTCAAAGAGTTTTGTTAGGCAAAGAACATCATCATAATTTCGCCACGTTTATCAATGGTGATTTCCTCTCCCCTTGGTCCAGTGTGCAAGAGAACTAACTCTTTTTTCATAGTTTAAACAGCAGTAATCTGTTTTCTACTGCTAACAACAAGCTCTGCTGAAATTCTCACAATGCTTAAACTCCAGATATGGACAGATGCAATTATATTCTCCAGAATATCTGCTTGCAATGAGATGTGTACAGAGTCAGAGAGTGGATGAAAAACCATCTTCTGCAGCTTTAGATTTGGGAATGACTTCCAGAGTGATAATTAGTACACGACTGTGTTGCCATTCAGGCAGCTGGGCACCTCACTCTGGCCTGTGAAGTAAAGATAAGCTTTTTGATGAGCTGTTGCGCCCCTTGAATTTTACAAATCAATAGCTTAATATTACAAAGTCCTTTTCTTACTAAAACAAACTTTACAGCAGCTTACATTGGGAAGTGAAGTTGCTGAATCAACTAATGGTAGTTTCCTTTCTTTTAATCTTTACTGCTTACACTATGAAAAGTTAATCCCTTCCAATGTGCCTTTCTATGCTGGTCTTCCTTTTTCAGGTGCAATAAATGAATAACATTTTAGGCCATATATAATCCCAACTGCTTATCAAGGATGAATGAAATTCTCCCACCGTCCTTCATGTAACTTTAAAGCACTGGATCTGATGTACAGAAGTCTAGAGGAATGGCTTACGGAGTTATCACAAACTGGCCTGTGAAGTGCCACGAAAGTCAAAGGCTGCTTTCCAAAGTCATCATTTTTGGCTAAGGACTGCTATACTATCTGCTAATATTCACACTTTTGTCTTCATCACATAAAAAAGAAACAAAAATATTATAGATAGAATAATATTCTTGAGTTTGCTCTTCTCCTCTTCCTCAGTAATCTTGGGGGACAAAAAGAGGGGAATGGGAAATTTCTGCTATGTGGAGGACCTGGGATGACTTTAGACCTAAAGAGCACATATCAGACAGACACAAGCAGAACTTGGACTCATTTACACCATGCTGAATCATACACCCGAACACACAGCCCCTGCTACATCAGTTCTTATGTCTGTGTTATTTCCCTTGCTCCATCGGTCTCCATGTCAGTCTGACAAAACGTAGTTTGAAGAATATGGCTGTTTAAAGTGATCACTGGGGAGTTTAAAGGTAAAATGTAGGTTCACAGAATCATAGAATGGTTGAGGTTGGAAAGGACCTGAGGTCATCTGGTCCATCCTCCTGCTCAAGCAGGGCCGCCCGGAGCCAGTTTCCCAGGACCATGCTCAGACGGCACTGAAGTGTCACCAAGGAGGGAGACCACAACCTCTCTGGGCAACCCGTTCCAGTGCTCAGTCACCTCCCAGTGAAAAAGTGTTTCCTGCTGTTCAAGAAGAACCTCCTGTGTTTCCATTTGTGCCCATTGCCTCTGGTCCGGTCACTGGGCACCAGTGCAAAGAGCCTGGCTCTGCCTTCTTTATACCCTCTCTCCGTGTATTTATCTTATCCATTGATAAGATCCTTCCTGAGCCTTTGCTTCTCCAGGCTAAACAGTCCCAGTTCTTTCAGCTTTTCCTCAATATGAAAGATGCTCTAGTCCCTTAATCATCTGCATGAAAAAAGCCTAATATTAGGAAAAGCTTTTGGAAACTCAGTGATAACTTTGGAAATGAAACTGTAGGTTATTCTGATTCACATATTCTCTTTGAGAATCTAGGAGCCATTCTGTGAGCACCAGGCTAGTGTGCAAGAATTGCAGTAACTGAGTAAGAGTAATTTTGTTGCTCATTTCAAAGAAATTTAAAAATGAACCAGTGGCATAAACATCAACAAAGTAAATCTAGCCATAAAATTATTTCAGCTATAATACTTTAATAATTTCCACTGTTATTAAGTGCATATAGCTCCACTAACTTTAACACAGTTGTTACCCTGATGATCTGACCCTAAGGCTTTATTAATAATAGAAACAAGATTCATTTTAATTGTGTCATGGATATTTAAGTAAAACTCCCTTTAGATTGTAATCTGCTTAAAACACATGGCAAGCTACAGCCCACAGTTTTTAACTCAGCTCTCGTCATTTTAACTTCCTTTTAGCTCTGTGGCTCTCCTTAACGCCGTTAAAATAGAACATTGACACAGGATAACTGCTGCGTACTGTAAATGCTTTTTCGAAAGAGATGAGGCTCCTGGCAGTTCTTATAGTGACATTCCTTCTTCTATAGCAAGTGACTGATTACAAGGCAGTTATCTGGGGATGAGCTCTTGATGCATGGAAGACCAGCATATAGGAAACAGCAGCCTGATAGAAGTGTTTATATAGTTGATGAAACCCGATAAAGAAGGAGAAAACTTGGTCAACATCTGTTATAAATCTTCAAAGCCCTTGTCTAAATCAATTATGTTATTCCAATTCATGTAGCTGAAAATACGACTCTGAGTCTTCCAAGATCCTTACTCAGAAGAGACACGGGAACCTGAGAAATATCTGAGATAGTAATTTGAGATGAACCTACAGAAGTGTGCCCATGGCAAGAAAACATTATAAATGCAAAATATATCCGGAATTTTAACGATTTACCATGAACTAATGAAGTTTCACTCTGGAGCAGCGTCCCTACACTTGAAGGTCACTTCAGCTTTGACAGCTCCGTTAATGCAAGTTTTCAGTGTCCCTGCTGCGCAGAACTCACATTTATACATTGCAATCCCAGAGCTCCTTCGTTAGATAATTGACTCTATACATGTAGGGTGAGAACTTTGTGACCAGGGCAATCGAAGATTTTTCTTTCAGTCCCCTGTGAGAAGAAGAGTTGGTTATTGTAGGATACTCTGCTACTGTGCTAGAAGGAACTGCACGTGCCGAGCCGAATACCCAGTCTGGCGTATTTTGGAGAGAAAAAACATGTGCTTTATGTGGGTCAGTGTCGCATGAACACTCTAAGTTATCTAAGTACCAAGGCAGAATATGTTTCTGGTGTATTACTCTGCAGCCTTTTAAGCTCAATGTTTAATGAGTTTCTCTTCTGTTGCTGTTGATATATATCTCTCAAATGCCATATTTATTGCTGGACTCGGCGAAAGATGCTGAAACAGTGCTCAGACAGTTTTGATACAGTACTTGCATTCAGAGACAGGCCCTCTTAAACCACTGAGGAATTTTCTCTTTGCAAATAGTTGTGGTAGATGTTGCCACAGTCCTTCATTTATCTACTCCTGTCGTATCAGTCACAGTGCTGGCAAGATGAATTGTGTGAGCAGGCACAGATCTGCTTCAAATGAAGTCTGCTAGTTCACTTTAAACAGTTAATAAAGACAATACAAGCTTGCCTTTGTTTATAAGATATTATAGAATATCCACATAACTGCTTGTACCAGGAAGGTTGAGGGGTTGGCATCTGCCAGGTGGTGGAAAATGGCAACAAGAAACTGTGCTAATGTCTTCAAGGAGCATCAGTGGATTAGAAAGAAGCATATGCCTAGCACCTGAGAGATGGAGCTTTATGTCTGGGAGGGGGACTGTGCCACGCTGCACAAATCTGACAGCAGCACATTACCTCCCAAACAAAACCTACCGCCTGTTTGGTGGCTCACTCAGGGCCCAAAAGTGACTGCAAAAGGCTGCACGCATTATGGCATCCCACACTCCTGGCCTGATGACAGATGGCCCAACACCCATGCCTCCTGATGCTGGCAAGTGCAAAACAGCACAAGAAGGTGAGCTGGGGCCCTCCCAGCATGATGGAACCATCCCTATATGCCCCAAACCTTGGGCATCTGTGGGAAGGTGAAGTGGGACAGAGGCATTTCAGTGTCATGGATACCTCACTTACTGCTCAAGATCACGGACAGGAATGGCCTCAAATCCAGAACTATAGTCAGGGCTCTTGCCCTTGCATTTCTAGGTTCATGGAGCACATCTCAGGTTCCAGGACAATGGTCAAATCCTTCAGGTTCATTATTATGGGCAGCTGCTTGCACTGCAGAACCATGGGCCCCTCTCAAGGTTTCTGGAGGCTCCTGAGTCGCCTGGACCGTAGGCAGGCACCTCTGGCTCAGAACAAGGGAGAACTACTGGGGCTTTCCGAGTTCCAGCACCACAGCTCGCTCCCACCGAGGTTCCGGTCCCCCCCACGAGCAGCCCCGTGTCGGACTGGGACCATGGGGATGACCCCTTTGGTGGTTCTGTGCTTTCAAGTGTTCACTTGCTAAGTGAGATCTCCTTTTTGACCATATCTTTGCAGTTTTCAGGTGTTCGTACATCTTCTATTAGCATTGCTTTTCACATTTCTGAGGCCCAGTGGTACTTCTTACAATATTGAAGACATTAAATCCAAATTCCAGTTGTCTAATTTTTACTGTTTTCCCATCACATTTGACAATACACCAGCCTTTTTGATCTCAGTTGTTCCATAGTGGTATTAGGAGCTGTCACAGCTGCTGTGTCCTGCTACCCAGATAGCTGTGTTTCAGCACCCACAGATACATTTTATGCAGTATGCAAAGTATCTTGGTTTCCCTCATGCTTGCTTTACATTTCCAAATCTTTTACTTCCTACTTCTTTTTTTAAAAAGAAAAAACCTTAAAAAAGTGTGCTTCTATTTCAGAAAGAGGCTGTAGTCCTGCCTGAAATATGTTTTGATTTAGAAATATCTGAAATGGTTTTCCTATGTATATACAGTATTTTTCCACTAAATTACCAATGTAGCTGATTATACTGCAAGTGGTCTCCGGTGTAAAATAAATCAATGTCTTTCACTTTCTGTTATTTTTCTGTTTGTAAACATGGCCAATTTTAAAAAGATACTTATTCTCTTTACCTAGAGCTATGAATGACATTGGAGATTACATAGGTTCCAACATCGAAATATCCTGGTTACCCAACCTGGATGATTTAATGAAAGGGTATGCACGTAATTTCAGGCCTGGGATTGGAGGTAAGACTTTGAAAGTAGTGTCTTTCTTGTTTCTTACAATCCTTCTGCCCTCTGATGTTATGTGAACTTCATCCTCTACATGATTAAAAGGTTGTGGTTGTCTGTTACTTGGATACTGGAAATAACAACAGTCAACAATTTGCTTGATCTTGAAAAACGACAGACTTTGCAACAGAATGAACAATACCGTCTTCTTGCTGATACAGTTCTTAAATCCCTGATTTCTAAGCTGAAGGAATTTTGAATTACATGAAGTGGATTACATCTTCATTTGCTTGAAGTCATGCTGCCTGAACTAGATGATGTGGTTTCCAGAGGGATTCCATAAGTTTCAGCAGTTGTGATTGTATCTCATGTCCTTTATCGCTGAAGCGAGATGTTCTGTTGGAAATCGAGGACGCAATCTGTAAAAGATTTAAATCTCTTGCTCTAAGGTAGATTTTACTTGGAAAGTGTACTTTATCATGGGAAACACTTTTATAAATCCACTTTGTATGAAAGAATTAAGTGTTGGGTCTTCTACATTTTTGTAGGTACCATGATGATGTGACTCACCATACTCAAACATTTTTTCTCAGGTCCTCCTGTTAATGTTGCTCTTGCAATCGAAGTAGCCAGCATTGACCACATCTCAGAAGTGAACATGGTACGTTACCAGTTAAACCTACCAAGTTGTGAACGTAGATGCTGCAATGGCAGAAAGTGTAGAAAATGAACCAGAGAGATGGTTGATCCCCAACATGTTTGGAGGGGAGAAATTACCACAAGAAGATGCTGAAAAGAACAGACATTGTGTTTTAAGATACAGGCAGAGTCTCTTCTGGCAGACATTGGCAGTTACAAGAATCTAGCCATGTGTAAGTCACTGAGTGTCTCATTTTTTTGAGATTTTTCATTGGATCTGTGCAGCACTTACGAACAGAAAGCCTCATTTTAAGCATTAACTCCAGCTTCTTCAAATTCCTTTTCATCACAGATACTTCCAAAAAGAAGCTAAGGGAACAATTGGTTGTGAGATGCTCCTCTCTCTTGTGTAAAGACCTTTCAATAAAGCAGTGGAGTATGACAACTTACAAGTCACATAAGCAAGCATAGGCTTGAATTAACTGCAGTTCTGAAACACAGACTGACTTTCTCTCCATCCTTTCCCTTCATTACAGATGCATAACTTCACCTGATTTTTTAATTTTGCTTTAAAAAACCTTAAAAAAAACCCCAGAAGTTGTACTGGTGGAGATATATAAACTGATTTTCTTCATTAAGACATGCAACTCTTGCAAGATTGTTATATGTAACACTGACATTGAATCACTCTTTGATATCTTGGGTTTATCCATGGTAGAAGCATACAACGGAAATTAAAACGCTTGCGCAGCTCTCTGGTTGACTGAGTATAAAAATACTTATTTGCACAGGAAACGGTTAACACATTTCTAGGAGAATACAATTATTTTCAACCAAGTCCCAAGGCATTGCCATTGTGTTTGTTTAGTGCCACGTTTCAATTGGGATTTTTCTTGTCATAGGAATATACCATGACGGTGTTTTTGCATCAGAGCTGGCGAGATGACCGTCTGTCTTACAACCACACCAACGAAACTTTGGGCTTAGACAGCCGGTTCGTGGACAAGCTCTGGTTGCCTGATACTTTCATAGTAAATGCAAAGTCTGCCTGGTTCCATGATGTGACTGTGGAAAACAAACTTATCAGGCTCCAGCCAGATGGAGTCATTTTATACAGCATCAGGTGAGTCGAGAAAGTGCAAGTGTACTCTGTCATGTATTACCTTTTTGAACAGACTATAAAGCAATCACTCAGTTTTCCTAGGATGATTTCCTTCAAAAATTATGAATTTAAAATGGAAGAAAGTACTCATTCCTCCTATCAGAGATCCCTTTCCTTTACGGGGATTACACTGCCAGGAAGGTATCTTTGGCAACACTAACACATTTTCAACTGCATAATCACTGATCACTTTCAGAACATCCTTAGTGGGAGATAAGCATCTTGTAACTATTTGGTCACCAGGCAAGGAGGTGCTGAATACAGAGCAAAGATTCTGTTCTCAACTCTTACTATTTGCCAGGGAAGTATGAGCCTGATTTAGGCTCAGCTTCCCCGTCTTTCAAACAGAGAAAGTAATTAATTTCCTCACTTTAGAATGTTCTTCCAAGAACTCAGCAACTATATTAAAGTTGACTGTAAGTTGTTTCGAATTCTAAGTCCAAAGTCACCCTTAAGGTATTTTGATAGTGATCTCGGGAAGAGTGGAAGGGAGTACATCTGACTCAGGACAGTCCTTTTTATCGTCAGAAGCAGCCGAAGCGTCCTCTGATATTAGACAAGACATTTAACCTTTCTTCAATTTTGCCCCACCTTTGGGTTTCCCCCAGACGTAGTAAAGCAATAGCCATAAGGATTTTGAAAATAGTTCCCTGTATTAGTATTAAGGTTTCAAAGTTTTCCATTTAGCCTTTGAGTTCTGAGGAAAAGGCTCTATCTGAATGCAACTAACTGGTGTTCACGTTGCTTGGAACAGGATTACCTCAACAGTGGCCTGTGACATGGACCTTTCCAAGTACCCAATGGATGAACAAGAATGCATGTTGGATTTGGAGAGCTGTAAGGGCTGAGTACAGTGTTCCATATAATCTCTATTTTGTTTGAAGCCTGCATATATGGTACTTAGCTTGCTGGAGTTTGCTGGAATGATTCTGCTTTAGCCAGTGACGTAAGGGGTGCCTTAGGGTTTAGAGACAAAGGGTGCAAACATTAACCCCTTCCTTCTCTGTGTTGGGCATTAGACTATGGGCTTTTCAATATTCAATTTCAATATGGGCATTCAATCATTCTATGATTCTATGATTCTATGGGCTTTTCAATACCAGTTCAGCTCTGGTCCGACTCAAAACTATAGGATTTAATTTAGTGAAGTCCTGCTGACCAATGTCTGGAACTTTGTGCTTCATGTAAAGCCTCGTGCAATCGTGACAGTCACTAGCATCACTGAGGTTTGCACCAAATCCAGTGAGAGTAAGTAGAGAAGCCTACAGGCAAAATTGGACATGCTATTTTTTCTTGACGAAGAAAAAGCAGGAATTCTCTGCTTCTGGTGAGGGCCATTGTGACCAACCCTTACATAGCTATTTAGCTTGCCCAGTCATTCCTGTATCTGTTACACAGAAATCAATCAGAATACTGCATGGACTGGCCTAAATTCATTTGTACTCGTAAAGGAGGGTGAAGAATGAATTCTTGTACTCGTAAAGGAGGGTGAAGAATGAATTTGTATTTTGTCCAACCTGTATTTTATCTATGATCAGCATGTAATTGCCATGAGCATTATATATTTTTGAATAGAATTCAGCACTGACACAAGCAGGGGCCTCTCAATCAATGGGAATGAATCCAGCCTTTTGTGGGTTTTATATTAAGGAGTTCACAGGTCCTGAGGGTTCCAGAGGGTTGTGAACAGCAGTTTCTGAGCAGATTCACTGGTCCATTGATGCAGTTTTCTCTTTTTCTGTTCTAGCACTGACTTTGTTTTCTAGGCAATTAACCACAATACCATTTTATCCCGTCAAAAAGAGCAATCTACAGTTTTCCTTATGTAATCACCAAATGCAGAGGCAGCAGACAGCGAACCGGCAATCAGTTCTCTCTCCCAGCAAGTTCTGCAGGGAGTTTTCGTGGTGGTTGAATTTTTTAATTGAATTAGAGGGTTTTGATTTCAGTGAAACAAGCACGTAGAAATAAAGCCTCTTTGAACAAATGAGTAGTTTAGTAGCAAGTTGTCCATTAACAGCAAAACTAGCAAAGGTCCATTTCCTATGGATTTGCATACTACATAAATTCCCTAATACATATCTCCCCGCTTCTCTCTTGTCCCTGGTGCCCTGCACCTCTCCCTAGCAGTTATCTTCCAGCTGCCACCCATGCCAACCTGCAGTCGTTAACAGGCTGATGTACGTGGTGGTTGTCAAGCTGGCTGGTGTATTTCAGAAAGGACACGGGTCCAGTTCTCTAACTGGATGCACAGATTTGATTTCCTGTTCTCTATACACCATTTCTTACAAAACTTTCAAAGAATCAAGCATTTTTGAAACCTTTACCCTTTTGTCATTTTGGTTTGAAAATACTGAGGAAGTTCAAAAGCTGTTAGGGGGACAACTGACAGAAAAACACTGCATAGGCAGTTTGCACAGGCGTTGCCTTCTGATTGAGCTACTTCAAGCCTGGAGGAGGCCCTGACAGTTGTTTCCAAGAGCGAGGATCCGCAGGAACTCCTTGGTTGTATGCTTCACTTTCATGCAGTGCCCGTTTGTAAAAGCACTGCAGGGCTTGCAAGGGGAGATATCGAGCCCACAGGACACAAACTTTCTGAGGATCCCTGACAAAGGAAATCTGATTCCCTGACACTGCCTGACTGGTACAGAGTACCTATTTCGTAAAATCAATGTGTAAACTTGGAGATAAACTTGCAGTGCAGAACTACACTCTGATCTGTCTTCAGGAGGATAGGCATAGATAGATTAGAATTAGTAGTTATTTTCATTTACAAACAGAAATTTCTGTGACTCTGAGATCCAAGCACACTGCAGGGGTAAGTGGGCTAGTTTGAGTGCTACAGTGACAGTTAGTCTACTTTAACTGAGCAGGCAAATGAGCTTTTTGAGAGATAATTTGAATATTTCTCATGACACTGAAATGTATTGTTCCATATCACATATTGCTAGTCAGTGTGAATCAACTTGAATTATTCTCCCTGTAGGAAAGCTACCCCAGTGTGACACTGGCAACGTTGATATTGCCAGGACAGTGAGTTATCCAGACTGTATCACAGCATGTTTGCAATGGGACCAATGAAAATCAGTGTAGCAGAGGAATTGGAGGACTTCCACAATGATTTCTTGGTTTCTTCCCCAAACTTTGTGTTTATTCAGCTTTCTTTTGGCAGATGGCTACTCTTCAGAGGACATCGTCTACCACTGGTCAGAAAACCAGGAGGAGATCCATGGGCTGGATAAGCTGCAGCTTGCTCAATTCACAATTACCAGTTACCAATTCACAACAGAAATGATGAATTTCAAATCTGGTAACAGGATCTGTCTTCAATTCAGGGGCAGTATCTGACTTTTTCCTGCGTAGGGAAACCTCCCATAGCTATAATAGAAAACCCTTCTTCTTAAGTAACAAATTCAAGAATCCGCCAGGCTTCTGATCTGAATTTTCTTTAGCTTACACTTGCAAAAAATGCCAGCCTTTGCTGAGCCTTCAGGTAGCCACTGTAGGATATTATGTCCTTTAGTTCTGTATATTTGACAAAATACTGCATGGAGTAGCCAGACAGCACTTGATAAAAAACACTTGAGCTATAGCTTACATTTTCTTGACCTAATTTGCAACTTCGGATAAAGGAAAATTTCCATTAGCCCCGATATTATGAGGCTTATGACGTACAGTCAGATCATTCTAATTCTATCCGGTAGAAGTCAGTGGTGTGTATGCGTATCACTGGGTTTATTGCAATGTTTGTAAAAGATTGGATTGCTGATTTTTCATCCTCTTTCATGTATTCAGATTCTCATTTATGCTGCACATCTCCTCTAAGCTCTTTTTTGAGTTTGAAATTAACTTGGCCTTTTAAAAGATCTAAATTTAGTATCTGGAGGACTTTTTACAGCAGATGATAAGACAGTACACATTTTGAAGCAATACTGTTATTCGAGAAGACTCATGATTTTATTTTCAGATCTGGCATTGATATGACCTGAGACAAATCATTTGACCTATTCTTAGCTAACTGTGCTGATCAGAACTGCAGTGCCTCGTGCAGGGTTTATGAAGACTAACTGAACGACATTCAAAAAAGCTTTTTGTGATCCTTGTCCAAAAGACGTTAAAGAATGTAGATTATTTGTGTCATTATAGGAGATGTTATTTTGAGTATCAGCTCAACTGTAATTCACACAGTCAGAATCTTTCTTTGTCTGCTCTTTTTTTTTCCAGCAGGTCAGTTTCCCAGGCTCAGTCTCCACTTCCACCTTCGGCGAAACCGAGGAGTGTACATCATTCAGTCTTACGTTCCCTCTATCTTACTAGTGGCCATGTCCTGGGTATCCTTCTGGATCAGTCAGTCGGCTGTGCCTGCCAGAGTGTCACTAGGTAAAACAGACAGTTCGGGGAACTAACAGGGAAGTAATTTACATAATTTGTAATTATGCTCTCTAGTAATCCTCGTTTTCCATGAAGGTGCATTTATGAATACCACACTTGCCTTTGCAGAAGTGATGGTCCTTTAAAAGATTTCCTTCTTGCTTTGATTTTTGTGATGCTATCAGAGCAAGCGCATCAGTAAAGAACCAAAAATAACCATCTAAAGATGGTTAAAAGCAATAGTGAATGTGAGCAGATGTATGCAAGAACTGATTTGAAGGAACTGGGACAGTGACAAAATGTGTTCCTAGAGTTTGTGGATCTCTCTGCGTGAGTAAGGGTTGCAAGTCCAGATGCAAAAGTTTTTGAGGGTCAAGTCTTCTGGTTTTGTTTGTCCTGATGTAGAACAAAACCAAGGATAACATGTTGAAAGGTACCTTAGTCATAAAATCACGTTTTTTAAGAGGCTCCCTTGTTTTGAAAATCAGAAGCCACGCTATTAAGGGGCTTCTATTGTGAAAATATTCCTCAGCTTCAGATTAGCAAATACACTTCTTACAGCGCATACTGTGAAACCTAAAGTAAATTTTCTCGCACCACACTGCAGGTATAACTACTGTTCTTACTATGACTACACTGATGGTCAGTGCCCGATCTTCACTTCCACGAGCATCTGCCATCAAGGCACTTGATGTTTACTTCTGGATTTGCTATGTGTTTGTCTTCGCTGCACTGGTGGAATATGCATTTGCACATTTCAATGCTGACTACATGAAAAAGCAAAAGAACAAGATAAAGGCGAGAAGGCAGAGTGGAGAGGTGAGTGAGCACAATACTGTGCATAACTTTGCAAAAGCAATTATCCTGCATTATGACATTTTTCTACTATGGAAGCAAGTTCTCCTACCCCTTTTGAAAAAGAAAAACAAAAATCCTGGTTAATTCTTCTGTCGTGTTAATGTGACAAGGAACCAAATACAACTGCTAACTTCCCCTTGCCAGCATGGTTAGCACTAAAGACAATATATTCTTACATGGTTTGGTGCTGGTTTTAAGGTAGGAAATGGAGAATAAGAGAGAATGAGTAAGAAGAGAGGCAAAATCTGTCTTGAGACAGATTTGTGTGTCTTACACTTTGAAGGTATATTTAGACCCTTTGATATTTGTCCAGTCCTCAGTCTGGGTTATGGTAACATTGAGTTGTTCCTGTAGCGTGAGGGCAAAGTCGTTCTGACAGCATTACATGACATGGGGAAGAAAGGCCTTTTCTCAGAACTATTCTTTACTACTATTCTTTAGTAGCTGCTTCTGCCTGTAGCTTATGCATCAGCATCATAAAACACCGTCAGCAAAACAAAAACTAGGCCTGTAGTCTTGAATATTGTCCCCTGGAGATTACGTTTGTTGCACCTGAGCTGCACAAGGTAAACACAGGCATAATTAGCAGGGATGTGTTATGCAGGTACGAAGCCCAGTGAGACTGAACAAAGGCGTCCATAGATGAAATGTCCTCCAGGAACTCCACATGGCTTTGCCGCTTTCTTCATGCACATACATCTATGTTAGGGATGAAGCAGAGTGAGTTGATTAAGGAATTTTTTCCTTGACGATTCATAATTTGTAGTCCAGGCCTATGTATTTTTGAACTCTCTGGCACTTTGGGTACTATTTATGACTATTATTACTTCATTTTACTAAGCTGTAGCAGATACAACTGATCCATATTCATTTTCTGTGCCACCTCCACGTTCTCTCACCTTTGACAAGAGCCTGAGAACAGCCTATCGCCTTTGGTCACAAAATGGGATAACTATCTCCTTAAAGTCAGTTATTATTTCCAGTCAGGAGGGCCTAAGCCTGCTGTCTCAATGGTGCCTCTGTGACTCAGAGCATGTAAAATTATAACCCGAATTTAGCCGTGGTAGCACAGTATTTCAGCGGCCCATCTGCCAAAGCCAGTGACAAACACCATCCAGCACTTATGGATCCCATAGCTATCAAACTATACCTGTATCATGGCTAGCTTGGCTGAAGTACACCACCTTCACCCTATAAATTGCTATTATGGGTTCTCCCCTTTCCTTTGCAGATAAACGTGAAGAATGCCATTGTTCTGTTTTCCCTTTCCATAGCTGGTGTGAACCAGGAACTGGTCGTTTCCAACAGGCAGCACCGAATTCCCAGAAGCCTGCCTGGATCGTATGGGACAATAGAAATAGAAACTGGAGAGACAAAACGGCAGCAAGTAATGAAACTGGATAAAAAGAGTGGTCTGAAGTCCCTTTTTAAGCCCATTGATGCTGATACCATTGATATATATGCCAGAGCCGTGTTCCCAGCAGCCTTTGCAGCAGTCAATGTTATATACTGGGTTGCATACACGATGTAAAAAAAAATAGAAATTCACGGGAAAAGCTACAAATTGAACAATACCCACAGACTGAAAAGCCCTTGCTGAAACTATATTGATCCATCTCTTCTCAAAATATTTTCCAATGAGCTCGAGACGTTTCTCAAGTCAAGAAAGTCCTGCAAGCAATTCCTACTAAAAGCAGCAATTTATTACCAATCTGATTTGGTACGGTAATAACTGTACTCTGCCAAACAATCCCAGCTCCTTATTTCCTGTATTACCATAAAACAATTTTTCATATGTACATACTTGCAGCAAGAGTTTAAATCTTAAATTATCATGGTTTTCCTCTACTTTAAGGGTTGATCAGTAATGAAGATTTGGCTTTTCACACTCAGATCATTTCCTTTTTAATGTAAGAGCTAATTCGTCACTTCGACACACGAGTGATTTTCTGCATCTGGCCTTCTGTGGGATGTAGTTTAACAGTAGTGATAAAGTTGGAGTTTTTAATCACAGAAATCTCATGAAGAAAGTAAAAGGGAATAGAGGGGAGTGAAGGCTTTTTCTTAAATTATTTTTGTCTTGGATAAAGTATTGAAAACATTTCAATGCTCTTAGTGACAGCATGAAATAAAATATACTACATAAAATTCTACTGTACTGTTAATAATGACTGTATTACATTTCAGATCTAAGCTAATGAAAGCTTAAACACTTAAGCATAGTAATGTTTATTAGTTTAATAGGCCCCAAAATAGAAAAAAAGTGATTTAGACACACAGGGAAAGCTCAGGCTTTCTATGTTGGATTGGGAGAAATTTTAAAAGTTTTTGATAATGAAGGAACTCAGACTCCATTTTCGGGAAGGACTTAAGAATTTGTTCTGTTAATTTGCAGTAAGAGTCTACCATGTGTGCCTCTGAAAATATCCTTTTTGCCTCTGTCCCTAACTAGCTGAGTGAAGTAAAAAAATGTCATAAATCTCTTTAGGTTACTTAGTTGCTTTGGAGATTTTTGCCATTTTTATTCAGAGGGGACCTAATACGTTAGGCCTCTTCACTTCCATTATTTGACAATGAAATTTGTGGGTACTCATACACACTCCTTAATTCAGGACTAGATCCTCTCACCCAACTCATGCAAAACAACACTTCGTTCTGTAAATAATTCCAGTGAACTCTGCAAATGAACACAGTATTCACAGCAAATATTTTCTAGTTAATCTCCAGGACACTCCACAGCAGATACATTGGGATATGGATTAAAGCAATTGAAATATTGTTTGTGTAGGAAACTGATGTAAGACACTTCAAAAAGTAAGTTTTTGGAGGATTTTGTTGCCTTGAGAGTAGAGGATTTTAGTTGTTTCAAATACAGAGACTGGCACAAAAGAAAATATGAAATGAGAGAGGGAGGGAGAGAAGGAAGCAAAACAAGTGGCTGAAAGCCACGATGGAAGGGAGCGTGGGGAGATGCGAGATTAAACAAGCCAGATGATGTAGAGAAGAGTTGTGCTGGGCTTTGAAGATAAGGATCTTGAACCTAGTGGCTGGTGATTAATAGTTGCAATTGCAGCAAGGATGAAATAAGCATTTGATCACAGTGGAGTCTGTGCACATTCCTCCTGCCTTACTTATCTGTGACACATGGTTTGATTCCACCACTAAAAGACAGAGCATTGCAACACGGATTTATAACTTAAAATAAGATTTGTTCCATATCACTGAAGTAAGAGAATGCTCTGAAGAAAAAACAATGATCTTGAACTGAGCTAAAATAGAAAATATGCTCCCATCATAAGTCAGGTTTAGATTCACCTCAATCCTTAGTTTCTGTTATAATGGAAAAATTATCTGCCAACGGTGTGCTGGAAAGTGCAAACTGACATCAAGCTATAATTGTTCCACAAAGTTCTCACCAGTCTAGCCCTGGACTGAGACACCCGGATTCCGCTTCAAGATCTCACCACTGACTTGTTGGGGAATCTTAGTTAAGCCATTTCACTGCCTCATCTGCAAAATTGATATAATGATACTGATTTCTTTCCTGTATCTTTGAGTTTTACAGAAGAAAAACCCTTCAGGAGAGACAGAAACTCTTATCCTCCAACTAGGTAAGTGCATCCAACTAGTACTTACGTGGTGCTACCTACCATACTTTCTAAGACTCACATACTGACTTAAAGCAAAGTGTCACTCCACTTCCACCTTATCCAGAAAGCTAATGAAATTCTGCATCTCCTTCAATACCTGCAGGTAATCAGGCTTCTCTTTCTTCAGCTTCTTCTCTATTTTATTTTTCTTGGTGTTTGTTCCTGATGTTGATGAAATGCTACATTACAGAAATACACCTTTTTTTCCTCAGTGCGTTTTCGGTCATAATCACTTTGTCTCAAAGGAAGTTCAACCCCTCCCACTCTCTTTTGAATCATTCTTACTGTTTTATGTAATGATGAAGCGCAGAATGGAATAAAACCAGCAGAAGCATGACTTTACACCGCCTTTTCCTTACTAAGTTGTTGCTTTTTCCATGACCCTGGGTCAGGTGCTTGACATATCTTAACTCCCCTTTCTACCTGTCCTTTCAGCTTAAAACTGAGCTTTTTCAATTTACACCTGATCTAATTCTTGTCTGGCCTCAGAAGCAATGGAAGTTTAAATGTAACTCTTGGATCATGCACTTTCATAGGCAAGTCTGAGATATTCTGTGCAGCACTTTGAAGAGTATCACCACAACAGTACTACTACTACACCCTTTAGAAAGGCCACAGTGCCTTATCCTTCTCTGTTACACTTGCATAAATCAGAAGTAATCTTGGGTTTAAAATCAGTAGATTAACTACTGCTGTGAAAGCAGAGTCTCACCTTTTTGTATCCTGCTGGTTTCTCTAGCTATTAGTTTATTACATTGCCTGTCAAGGTTAGTATCTACTGCTAGGAGTGAAATTATTGACTAAATCCAGCTGAAGAAACACTCGCAGCAAGTTCCTGTGTAGGGTAAATCATAAGAAAATCATCCATGATTTTGGAATTGAAGTTATTAAAGAGCAGAAAGCAAAGCATTGACCCTGTCCCTCTAGTGTGCAGTGGCTGGTTATTTACAGTAATTAGCAAGAAGGCGGCTGCAGATATTATAAAGGCAGTGTCTAATCTAATTACTTCAGCAGTGATAGTTTGTAATCGTGCACCTGACACAGCTCCTTACACTGAAGCCAAGTGAGCAATCACATGGGGTTATGGGACAAAATTAGTTGTTTCTCCATCTGGGAGACAGTCATAGGCTGCACGCCCTGCTGACTTCTACAAAAGATTTATTCAATGAATTTTTCTGGAGTGTGCAGATTTTCAAGGTGCACAGCTCAGTTGTGATTGATCAAAGTCAAAGGTGGCAGCAATGTTTTCCTCAAAAAAACCCAAAGCCAGAATGCTACACTATCTTTACATCACAGACAGAAGCATAAAGGAGGGGAAAAAAACCCTCAAAACGTTGCAGGCAGTCAGAAACGTGCACTTTGAGCGTACGTGTAGGAATTACGGCCATTCCAGGAATGAGGTGACTCAGAGGGGAGAAGAGGTGTTTCAGCTGCTGCTACTGCCCTTGCATGAGTAGCACAAGACAAACCATCTCCATCATGAAGAGTGGGATTTTCTGATATCTGTTCCAGAGTCAGAAATAGAAAAGTGAGATGCCATTCAAACTCTTTTAAGGAGACGCTTCAGTATAGGAGTATGGCATAATGATTGGAGTTTTGCATAAATTTGAATCTTCTGTACTTTCAGGTGTGCTTTACTTCTTTTTTTATTTTAGAATCATCATACTTACAAATGATTGGACGTTAATACTTTAGACATACTAATGTCTAAAGTAAATGCCTTATTCAACCCTAATTTCATGATGCCCTTAGTGAACAGAAATAAACTAAATTTGATGTCAATTGAATGCTGAATTTGGATGGGTTGTACTAATGTCAAGGACAGGGAAAAAAAAAAAAAATAGTATGTGACAGATCAGAAGGCACTTTTTCTGTGCTGCACCTGAAAGCATTTGTATTCCTTTCAGCAGTTTAGAATACTGGCGTGTCTGTGAAAAAAAAGCATGGGATATGTGTAAATGTAATCATTCTAAATGTGAAGTGTTAATAAAATGCAGATATACAGAAATTGGAGCTTCTACAATCGGACAAAATAGACAATAGAACTATTGAACTGGAAGATAAAATGCACTAGAAGGAAAACCAAAATAACCTCAGAGATTTCATCCCATAATGAAATCCTGCCTATTCAGTGCCCGAGGGCTTCTAAAACTCTCCTTTGGCCTTGACAAGGGAAAAGAAAGTACCATTCTGTATTCATGAGTGCTTTCTGTGGGGCACTTACACAGACTACAGTATTTATGTTAAAAAATAGCTGTTGCTGCCTCAAGAGATTGAAAAGAATCAGAAAGCACAAGACAAAGAAGAGCAAGATACTGCACGATTTGTTTGAAAGTAGTGCTGGCAGTGACAGCACTATTAAGAGGTTAATATACAGAAATGTCTGTCCTGTTTCTGGGTGAAAATGAAAGCATTTATCTAAGTTAAAGCCCTTACATCAGTTCTTAACTGGTTTTCTAATCCAATAGATAATGTAGCGAAACCAATTTAACTGAACGAGGCTTCTACTGTTGGTACATCAAAACACTTCAAACAATTGCTCTCATTTTAAATACTCAGAGTCATTAACCTCAGAAAGCACTTCACATGAGGAGGAAAACAGCACCCTTGCATATTTGTCTATGAAGCCCAATAGATAACAAAAAGCTTACTGAAAGTTCCTGAGAATATTTTCATTAAAAAAAAAAAGGGAAGCAACTCCCTCATGCCCTCTTTTTTATAGCAGTTTAAAACGCTTGCAATGGTTGAAAGCTTGTTTGATGTTATAGTAATGCTGCGTGCCATATATGTTACACGGATACAGAGCTAACTCGTCTTCATGAAAACTGAATAAAAATTTGGCAATAAACAGTTCTATTTGGAGGATTTGGTAGCTGCAATGAGAAAGGCACTGTCTCTTTCTGCTGTTACAGCTTGTATGTTAAATGAGATGAATTCGAGGGTCCCTTCCAGCCCTAATCATTCTATGATTCTATGATGTAAGCCCGTCGTTACACAACGCATCAGGGATCTGTTCTCTCGTTGGAGCAGCTTTGTGTCAGGGCTGTTCCTTTTGCTGAGTCCTGCACAGTGAGAGCAGACCTGAGCAGACAGCCAAACCCGGGCTGTCAGGAAACGTAGCACCGACAGAACTAATAAGATATTATTGGGAGTTCACTGTTCCGCAAAAAGATTGGTCCAAAAAAGAAATCCAAACATCCCTCGTTTCTGAGGTGTCTGAAACCTCTAGATCACTCCAGATTTAGGACCAACCAACACGTAGGACTAATTCCACGGAATGAA